CATTTTATGGTGGACTGTTTCCTGATCCTGGTAGAGTAGACTACAAGGCCGGCCGTTCTGACTCACAGACTGTACGTTTTTTATATTTAAAGAATTTGCCACTGACGATTCAAACTCGTGTTTTGGGCAGTGTAGAGTAGCGCTTGTTGTTTGTCATTTCTCCGATTACAAATGCAGACATGGTTTTATGTTTACGCGGCGCAATGCAACGCGCAAAAAGACCGTATAAGTCATTATAATCCGTAATTATGTCCCCACTGGATGCAACGAATGCCTCGTTTGTAATGGGTTTTCATGTTTTTGTCTCGTCGCTCCGGCCGGACACGGCATCAACAGTATGGTGAGGGGTGTAACATTTCCGTCACACGCTTGAGGTATTTGGCCAATCACAATGCACTGGATAGCTGGCCAATCAGAGCACACCTCGCTTTTTCAGACCGATGAGCTTTGTAAAAATCGACACGTTTCAGAAAGGCGGGGCATAGAGGAGAAACAATAATGTACAGTATGTGGAAAATAATGTGTTTTTTTAACTTTAAACCGCATAAACACATTTCATTACACCAAATACACAAAATAATGTTATTTTTAGCAGCATCATATGACCCCTTTAATACTTCATCCACAACAATATTTAATGAGGTTAACTTATAACGTTACCCTCCTTGTGGTCAGTCTGCACAAGATCAACAAGCTTGTTTGCTTTGCGACTCCTTTAAATACAAGATAAGCATTAGTTCTACGTCAGAGCGTCAGAGAGTCCACGAATCTTTCTACAGCGTTGTTGGCAGGGCGGCCAGAGCGATTTTTTACGCTCTCGACGGCGGCGGTGTGAATGAACAGTTAATCAAAAATCTAAATGGCAAGATGCAATAGAGGTTTGCTTTTGTTACATTTAAATGGACATTGCATTTTTCTGGTTGTAAAGGTTAAAACAATGTTAAGATATTAATAAATAATAGAGTTTCGTTGGACTCGGACTCGGTTGTTTGGGACTCGGACTTGAGTCCGACTTGGCCCATTTTGGACTTGGACTTGTCTCGGACTCGATTGGTTAAAGACTCGGACTCGACTTAGGTGGACTCGAACCCAACACTATCTGTAACCGAACTCACACCCGTAAATTTTCAGGACTCACAAACGCATTCTCGGAACACACGCGCTGTGTGAACGGAACCGGACTGGACAACCAGTTGTCTGTCACGTCATACAGTGCGAGAGGGAGCCGCTCTGCACAAACGCACGTCTACCGTGTGTTACGTGTTTTCATGTGTGTTATTTCAACAATCTGAAATAACTGTGTTCTGTTTGAATATATTTTAAATAATTATTGTAATTGTAATTCATTTCTGTGATTTCAGCAGCCATTGCTCTAGTCTTCATGATCCTCATGTGTCACATGATGCTTCAGAAATCTTTCTAATATGCTGATCTGGTGCTCAGTTCTTATCAATTCTTATTTGTGCTAATTACTGCTAAATTATTACTAGTGGTTCTTATTATTATCAATGTTGGAATTTGGAAATATACAACCTGTGATACATTTTTCAGGGTTCTTTGATTAATAAAAAGTTCAAAAGAACAGCATTTATTTAAAATAGAAGTCTTTTGTAAATATCTTTTCTGTCACTTTTTATTAATGCATCCTTGGTGAATAAAAGTATAACCCTATCCACAGTGTATCGCAATTTCCATAAAAATATGAAGCAGCCCAACTGTCTTCAGCATTGATAATAAGAAGAAATGTGTCTTGAGCACCAAATCAGCATATTAGAATGATTTCTGAAGGATCATGTGACACTAAAGATTAAGTTGTGTATCTAAAAAGACATGCACTCTATTTTTGCATAACAGATTTGGCAGATTCCTGACGGAGGTCTGACATCTCCCATGTCTGAAGCTGTTGTGACTCTCGAGGGCCACAGTAAAAGAGTGGGCATCCTGGCCTGGCACCCTTCTGCTCTGAATATCCTATTGACTGCAGGTAAGCTCTTCCTATGTGTATATATATATACTTTGCCGGCTCACGGTTCTTGGATTAAGTCTGTTCTGGCACACTCTTATTTTTGGCATGTGCTCTAATTCTGGTGTCTTAAATCGTTTATCAAGCCCTAATTTTGGATATTGGACTTGTTTGAGGGTTTCGTGCATCTTCAAAGTAATGAAAAGACAATAGAGCTGTCAATCACATGTAAAGAAGTAACATAAATAAATCTCTGATCTAAAACTGGACCGCTTGATGCACAGATTGATTTAAAGGTTTGTGCACGACCAGCCAAAGAAAGGTGGCTTTGGATTTGATTTGCATTGGCATGTAAATATCTGAGATGCAAATCTTAGTTCTTAAACTGGTAAGATGTTTTTCTTGCTGACCTTTTGGCCAACTTTGATCGTGTTTGCTGGTGTTTTAGGATGTGATAATGTCCTGTGTGTGTGGGATGTGGGCACCGGGGAGCTGGTGTACCAGCTGAGTGACGCCCATCCAGACCTGATATACAGCGTGAGCTGGAACCGCGAGGGCAACGTCCTGTGCACCACCTGTAAAGACAAAGCCTTACGAGTCATTGATCCCAGGCGTGGAACAGTCCTTAAGGTCAGCCTGTTCATTTCTGTATGATAAAGTTTCTTCATCAGGGTTTTCCAGCCAGGGGGCTTGTGAAGAAATGCACAGACAAGTTTGAGGACAGATTTTCAAAATAAAGAGGCATCTCATGCTTACCAAGGCTGCATTTATTTGATTTCCTTAAAAAAAGTCTGTAATATTGTAAAATATTATTTCTATATAAAATAACTGTTTTCTATTTTAAAATGTAATTTATTCCTTTGATGCAAAGCCAAATTTTCAGCAGCTATTACTCCAGTATTCAGTCACATGATTCTTCAGAAATCATTTCAATATTTGCTGTTCCAGAAACATACGATTACTATATAAACATATTCTTATTATTATCCATTTTGAAAACAGTTGTGCTAATTAATATTTTTGTGGAAACCATGATTCAATTTTTTTAATTCTTTGAGTAGAATGATCAAAAGAACAGCATTTGTTTAAAATTGATATCTTTTGTAGTATTCTAAATGTCTTTACTGTCACTTTACTGTCAATTTATTGCATCATTGCTTAATAAACAGATTAATTTCTCTCAAAAGAAAAATCTTACTGACCCTAAACTATTAAAAAGTGGTGTAGGAACAGCAGATTTTAGTATGGTAGTTTGAATATTCCTAGTAGGCCAAGATGATACAGGTGTACAATGTAAACATAGACATTAAGTGCACCTGAGGACTAATAGGATTATTCTAGGAATGTTTATCGAGCGGCCTGACAGCTGCTGGAAAGAAGCTGCTCTTTAATCTGGATGTTTCTGCTGTTAGTGATCTCACGAGGGCAGCAGCTGTTTTGTCCTGGGCGGGATATTTTGTCCACGATGAGCTTTTAGCATGTGTGATGGTCCAGTGGATTTCCAGGAATTCAACTGAGGGGAAATCTTATCAAAACAGAACATGAGCTTAATAATTAATTGTTTTATTAATTTGAAAGCATTCATAAGCATTGGAAGATTTGTATTACATAACCACTGGCCGGCCACATGTCACTGCAGTTCTGTTTGAGATATGGCAGACTTGTTGAATAGAATATTAGTGAATTAATACTTTAAATCAAGAAAAAAAAGACATTTTGTGGTTGCCTCTAAACATAAAAAGTTTCCAGTTAGTTTAGGCCTTGCGTTGTCCTCGTCTTCTGCATCAGATCACTTTGGAATCTTTAAATGGTCTTCAGATCAGTGTTTTTGCGCACATATGTGATTTTTGTTTGACAATGTCACACTCAGGTGCGGGAGAAGGCTCATGAGGGCACCAGGCCGATGAGGGCCGTGTTTCTGGCTGATGGGAAAATCCTGACAACCGGCTTCAGTCGCATGAGCGAGAGACAGCTCGCCCTCTGGGACACGGTAAGAGCATTCTGTACAGTAGAGGAGAATCGCTGGTCCTCTTTTGTTTTGTCAGCAAGAATGATCCTTTAGAGCCTGAGGTGAAGCATTAATAGAAACTTGATTGAACTTCCCACTGTAGTGCTTTATGGGTAATTCCTACTAAAAATAGCACACTACTATTCAAAAGTTTGGGATCGGTAAGACTTTCTTTAAAAGAAATTTCATCAGCAAGGACAAATTAAATTGATCAAAAGTAACCGTGAAGGTATTTTAATGTTACAAAAGATTTCTATTTCAAGTAAATGCTGTTCTTTTGCACTTTATATTCATCAAAGAATCCTGAAAAAAAGTATCGCAGTTTCCACAACCATTTTAAACAGTACAAATGCTTGCAGCATTGATAATAATAAGAAACATTTCTTGAGCAGCAAATCAACATATTAGAGTGATTTCTGAAGGACCATGTGACACTGACGACTGCAGTAATGATGTTGAAAATTCAGCTTTTCCACTACAGGAATAAATTACATTTGAAAATATATTAAAGGGGTCATATGATGCTTTTTTAAAGATCATTATTTTGTGTATTTGGTGTAACAGAATATGTTGACATGCTTTAATGTTCAAAAAACACATTATTTTTCAAATACTGTACATTATTGTAGGTCCTATATGCCCCGCCTCTCTCAAACGCTTCGTTTTCTACAAAGTCCCTCCTTCCGACAAGCACAGTCTGCTCTGATTGGCCAGCTGACCCAGTGCATTGTGATTGGCCGAACACCGCAAGCACTCGTCGGAAATGTAACGCCCCTTACCATAATCGCGAGCTTCATCTTTCAAAATAAATGTAAAGACAGAGCCCGAAAGGGGAACAGAGTCGCGTGACAGACACAGTGATGAAGCTGGTATGTGTTTGCAGTACACAAGCCACGGTTAAGACGGCTGACTCCACTGTGATGTGACCCCGTCTCTCTCTCTCTCTCTCTCTCTCTCTCTCACACACGATGCGGAAAACACCGCATTTGAACAGTCAATAGCAAATACTTAAACTAATAACAAAACAGTAGCTGATTCAGAAGCGCCAGATTGTCATAGCAAAGTCAGAATTACCTCCTCTCCTAGGTTCACGAAACGGTCGTCCATAAAATGCATTGCTGTTCTGTTGTAAGTAATCTTAAAAATTCCTAAATGCATCTACTTTCGGAAGGCCAAATAAAGTGCTTTTGCTTTCACCTAGAAACACACAGCGTCTCCCTGACATGCTGCTTCAACACTAACTGCGGTTACTGAAACCACGCCTTCTTTCTTTGCGTGCACATTTGGGCCACATTATGCAAATATTTCCACATAGTGAGGTAGATATGTGGGGGCGTGTTAGAACAAGCCGTTTTAGGGGGGCGTGGCAGAGTCTTAACTTTGATAAAGAATATCTCTTTGGTTTTGAGACTTTAGTCTTTGCAACTTCAGGGATCTTATCTATGCACAATCAGCTTGTAACACTCCAAAGAGAAAGGAAAACTTGAAATCGCATCATATGACCCCTTTAAAATATTTAAAATGATAATAACAGTTCACAGTACTACTATTTTTACGATATTTTCCATCAAATAAATGCAGCCTTGGTGAGCATAATGGATTTCCTTAAAAAACATTACAAAATCTTACCAACCCCAAACTTTTGAACCATAGTATATTTATAAACAACACCATTTAAATATATTTATTTAGATTTTTTTCTATTTTAATTGTACTTCCTTCAATTAAAAAGGAATTTGAACTCCGGTTTGCTACCAATTTTCAATTTAAATTCCACTTAGCAACCTTGCAGAACACTCTAGAAACCATCTGAGCAATCATGCCCTGGCATCCACTGTCAGAACCACCCAGAATGCCTTAGCAATTTTACTATTATAGTAATGCACAAGCTCATCCAGAACACCCGAGCAACAACCTTAGCAACCACTTGCAATGCCCAAACTTCTACCACTTAGCAATTGCCAGCCACTCAGAAAACTTTAGCAATGGCTTAGTAATGCAAGTGCAAGGCACATGTAACCTTCAGACTTCAAATTACTATTCAAATTGCTTTCACTTCAGAAGGCCCAAGTGACCTTAAAATGTCAAGACTTTTTCAACTTTCAGGCAACATTCAGTGTGTCTTGACAAGCTTGCATTTTCTAGTTTTTATTTTGTGGATGTGCAAATATTTGCTCAAACTCCCTCAGTTTAGTAGCTTCGGGACACATGAATAATCAGACGCTCACAAATGACCTTAGTTGACATAAAAACATCTATATAGGGAATCAGCCAATCAATCAGATGAGCTTTCTGAAATATTTCTCTCTTAGTTGTTGCCTGTCAGGTTCAGTTATTGAGCATGAAATAGTACTATATGTTTTGATAACCTAGTGTATATATGACTGTCTCTGTCTGTCTTTGTATTTCAGAGGGATCTTTCTGAGCCAATGGTTACTCAGGAAATAGACACCAGTAACGGAGTTCTGCTTCCATTCTATGACCCAGACACCAACATGGTTTACTTGTGCGGCAAGGTAGGATTACCCAGCTTTATCCGATCACCTTTAACTGCTGCACGACAGGTTCCTCCAGCAACTCTAACAGAGATATAAACTTACACAGAAACATGCTGTTTACAGAAAACGCTTCTGGCACAATCACTGCCTGCGGTAGTTTTCCTTATTTACATACAGCAAACATAAACACACTACTATTCAAAGGTTTGGAGTCAGTAATGAATCAAATTATTACATTTTGGAAAGTTTCGTAAGAGATGTAAGAATGAAATGGTGGTAAATGGCACAGTGATGGTATCAGATATAAATACTGTGGTACTTTGACACCTGTTTCTCATAGGCATGAGTAATAAAAGTAGAACCAGTAATTGATTGAATCCAGAGTTGTCAATGAACTGTAACACAGCTGTCTATCACTGTCTCTCTCTCTCACAGGGGGATTGTACTATTCGTTACTTTGAGGTGACAGATGAGTCCCCGTATGTTCATTTCCTGAGTCTGTACAGCAGTAAGGAGCCGCAGAGAGGTGCTGGTTTCCTAAGCAAACGAGGAGTAGATGTCAACAAGTGTGAAATAGCAAGGTATGAACTGAACTACTGTGGTGCTTTAAGATGTAATCGTAAGCATATTTGTCATTGTTCGATTTTGATACTTTCCATTTAATCCCATTTGGGTGTGAATTTGTTTGCATTTCATTTGCCTTAATGAATGCCCTGAATACATGTGAGTGGCAACTCCATCTTCAGTCTTTTGCTTAGTGCAAAAGTTGTTTGACTGGTTATTTGGCCGGAGTGTTTGACTAAGAAATATAAAACTGAGCAAACGGGAAGATAAAGAATAGTTCACAAAAAAAAATAAAAAAATGAAAATGTCTAATGTCCATTACAAACTGAATTAAGGTTTATCCGCAAAAAAAACGTTCTCTTTCATTTTTATTGTTCTTAAATGGCATCTCTTAAGTGCTTGCATTTATCTCCATTATTCTTCATTTTATTCCATCAGGTTCTACAAACTGCATGAGAGGAAGGTTGAGCCCATATCTATGACTGTGCCGCGCAAGGTAAGTTCAGTCGTTCAGTTCTGAATTTTGTGTGTTAAGCAAGTAGGAAAGGAAAGTTACTAAGTAACGTCTGATTACTAATTGTTCCATCATTCCATTTCGGCATCTACAAGACCTTTGGTTCTGATAGAACAGTTGAATTTCTGTTTGAAATGCTGAGACAGGAAGTTCACTGAAAATGACCATACTCTAAATACTCTCTTACTTGGCTCTCCCCATGATATATCAGCCATATCGACTCCAATTCGTTCCAAAAAATATGTTTAAATGGTGAGGATATGCTCATATTGACTCAAGTTGACATATTGAGGAATGGCATCATCTGTTTCAAAACAAAACAATGGACAGACCCAAATATGCTGGCTGATATTTGAAAAATGTGTAATATTTATTTATGTCACTCATCACGGAAATTTACGGATGCTGCTGTCACATATTCATTGCCACAGAAAATTAATTTGCTCAGTTTGTAAAAATAAACAAAATGTCATACTTCCCACACTTCACGCTCTAATAATTCACTCAAAAATGAAAATTCTGTCATAATTTACTCATAAGAGAAAAAGTCATACGGCTTTGGAAGTGACATGAGGATGAGAAAATCATGACAGAATTTCCATTTTTGGGTGATCTGAAAGACAAAGACCCAAATATGCTGGCTGATATTTGAAAAATGTGTAATATTTATTTATGTCACTCATCACGGAAATTTACGGATGCTGCTGTCACATATTCATTGCCACAGAAAATTAATTTGCTCAGTTTGTAAAAATAAACAAAATGTCATACTTCCCACACTTCACGCTCTAATAATTCACTCAAAAATGAAAATTCTGTCATCATTTACTCATAAGAGAAAAAGTCATACGGCTTTGGAAGTGACATGAGGATGAGAAAATCATGACAGAATTTCAATTTTTGGGTGATCTGAAAGACAAAACAGAAATAAAATGGGAAACTTGCATGAATTTATTATAATTAGCATATTGCAAGTATTTTTTGTATTCTGGGTAATGCCGTACTGTTGTATTTTTGGAGTCTTTGTGAAAGAGGAAGTAAGAAAATGTTTTCAGCTGCCCCTTTGCACTGGCATATAGACCTCAGTCAGGGAAGCACCATATTTAAGTTTTGACAGGAATGAAATCGAGGCTGTGAGAGACAGAAGTGCAGTGCATTCAATGGATTGTAATGTTGTTTAACAACATAGCGATTGTTCAGCTGACGAAACGTCTTTCTAAAAAAAACTTTAAGTAGACAAAAACTCTGTAAAACAGTTTTGAAAGGTTTTAGTTTAGGGAAAATTACATGATCTAGGACTTTTATATAGTGCGTGCCACTGTAAGTCTGTCCCTCACAGCCCTGTTTTCATCCGGGTTAAATTCAATATGGCGTCTAACCTGATTAAAGGACTTTGGACGCGCGTTCATGACAGTACCATGACGCGAGCGTGTGGCTGCGCCGGCAAAGAAGTATTCTCGTAGCTGGTTTTTTTTGTGTTCCGAAGATGAACGAAGGTCTTACGGGTTTCGAACAACATGAGGGTGAGTAATTAATGACAGAATTTTCATTTTTGGGTGAACTAACCCTTTAAGGTCTATTTACCAAACTACATCCTCTGTCTAAATGAGTATTTTTTCTCCACCCACAATCAGTCCGACCTATTTCAAGGGGATCTGTACCCAGATACAGCGGGATTAGAACCCGCTCTACTGGCAGAAGATTGGATAGCAGGACAGGACGCTCCTCCAATCCTTGTTTCCCTGAGTGGAGGCTACACGGCCCCTCCATCCAAATGTGGCACGCTCCGGGGTCGACCCAAACTGCTCTCTCAGACCAACACTAGTCCCACCAGCACCACTGCGCCAGCAAACCCTATGGCAGTTGAGATGGAGAGAGAGGGGTTGGGCCATGGACAAGGAAGAAGGGATGTAGATGGAGGCATAGAGAGAGTAAAGAAAGAGGTGAATGACAAGTTTAGACATATTTTGTAGCATAGATAGATAGATAGATAGATATACATTTTAAATTATATTAAAATAGAATTAGAACTGTTTTCATGGTAGTGTGTATGTAAATTTACACACTACCATGAAAATAATAATTTTCTGAACTATTTCTATTTTAATATATTTTAAAATGTCGTTTATTTATGTGATGTCAAAGCTGTCTTTACTGTCACTGTTTACTATTGTATAGAAGGCCATTTCTGTCACGAAAAAAAATAAAAAAATAAGGTAACTTATCTCACAATTTGGACTTTATTTCTCACAATTCTGAGAAAAAAGTCAGAATCATGAGATATAAAAACAGTATTGCGAGATATAAACTTGCGGTTCTGAGAAAAAAAAACAGAATTGTGGGATATAAACCTATAATTCTTAAAATTCAGAGTTTATATCTCACAATTCTGAGTTTATATCTTGCATTTCTGTTTTTTTTATTTTTTTTATTTTTTGCCATGGAATGTAAAATAAAGGTAATTGCGACTATTCATCTCAACATTTTGACTTTTCGTCTCAGAATTGCAAGTTTATAAACATGCAATTGCGAGTTAATTTTTTTTAACTCGCAATTAAAAAATTCTCTTTTTTCAGAATTGCTAGTTTATATCTTGTAATTCTCAGTTCATGTCTCATAGTTCTAAAAAAGGAAGAAATGTGAGATACGAACTCAGAATTGTGAAAAAAGCTAGACTTGTGAGATAAAAGGTCGAAGATACTTTTATTTTGTGGTAGAAATGCGATTTCATACTTTTGAGCAATTTAATTGATGAATAAAAGTGTTAATTTCT